CTGAACAAAATACTTTCTCCAGTTCGGTCCCTCCCAAATGTGTTAGGTTTGGCCCGGATATCTTGAGCACATCAGATAGCGGAAGGGTACCAATAAAGGAGAAATAAAAGGTGTTTTGTACTCCACGCAAGCAGGAATCGTTCACGCTTTTCAAGGCTTTGATGGTGGCAAGGGAGAAGATGCCTTCGCTTGTACGAAATTTATATTACTTTCCAGCCAACACAAGTGAGAAGGAATGCTGTCAGGTGGCATTACGTGAATTCATTCTTTGGGGCTTTGTAGAGGTGTATTGCCAGGGTTTACTTGATTTACTTGCGCTGTCAGAGAGGGAATAGAAAGGAAATTATTCCATCCCCACTTCCTTGTTTAATGAAAGGAGAGCAGTGTACCAAAAAATGAAACATGATGGCTTCATAAGCTACTGACAAGAAGTGATCTATAAACAGGCCAGAGACTCATTTCTCAATTGTTAAACCTTATTACTTAGGACTCGTAGCCTTACTGTCGATGGAAGCCTGGGCTTAGAGCTCAGCCTTAGATCTCGAGGCCTGGCTGCTCTTAAACAATTCAGCCGGTTCGGACCGGTTTGAGTGAATCTGTAGTGGTGACCTGCAGGTGGGCCTGTCCACCTGTCTTATTTAGCCACGTTTTCTAAGCCATGCATATTAGGGGCGGGTTGCTGCCGGCATTACTGCTGGTTCGGTGCGCGTGCAATTTTGCACTCGGACTATCGTATTTTTCAGAGTATAAGACGCACCTTTTTCCCTCAGAAAAAGAGGGTGAAAATCTGGGTGTGTCTTATACACTGAATACAGCATTTTTGGCCTCCTGAAACCCCACCCCCTTCACCAAAATGGCCGTGCAGAGCCTTTAGAAGGCTTGTAGAGTGTTCCTGGGGGCTGGAGGGGGCAAAAATGAGTGATAAACAGGCCGTTTTTCGCTTGTTTCCCCCCCTCCCCAGCCCCCAGGAGCACTCTACAAGTCTCCTAAAAGCTATGCATGCCCTTTTTTTGACAAAAAATGGACCCGTTTTTCGGAGGTTTGCATAGTGCAAAAACTTTTTTTTTAATTTGCCTCTTCAAAATCTTGGTGCATCTTATACTCCGGAGTGTCTTATACTCTGAAAAATACGGTCCCTGTACTTTTAGCGTCGTTGATTCCTGGTCCGATCTACTGAAAAGGGCTGACAACTTCCACCTCAGGGTTATTCAGAGCCAAACAAGGTCAACCGGATGTTTTACTTAGCTATGAAGTCCCCAGTCAGAATCTGAAGTATTTGGCCTGCTAGTGCCTAGAATGCACTCTCCCTTCAATGTTACAACCTCTTCCACACCAGGGTCTATTTTTCACACCGCTTTTCACACTTACGATCGTTGCAGCATCCCCACAGTCTTGTCATCAAAATTCAGACGTCTGGCAACTGACTCACATTTATGACGGGGGTGATGTGATCCCCCTTTGCGACCTTCTGAAAAGCAAAGTCAGGGGGGAAGCCAGATTCACTTAACAACTGTGTTAATAATTTAATAACAGCAGTCTTTCACTTAATAAATGTGGCAAGAATGGTCGTAAAATGGGGCAAAAGCTCACTTAACGAAATAAATTTTCGGCTCAAGGTGGTCCTACAGGTGATACTACTTGTATCAGCCTTTCCTTTCTTAACCATTTTCCAGGGATAAGAAAAACTATTCTCCAAGGCACCTGAGGGCAGGACAAGAAGCAATGGGTGGAAACTAATCAAGGAGAGAAGCAACTTAGGAGAAACAGATAGAACAATTAATCAGTGGAACAACTTGCCTGCAGAAGTTGTAAATGCTCCAACACTGGACGTTTTTAAGAAGATGTTGAATATCTCTTTTGTCTGAAGTGGTATAGGGTGTTACTGCCTAAGCAGGGGGTTGGACTAGAAGACCTTCAAGGTCCCCTCCAACTCTGCTATTCTATAAAAAGGCAGGAGAAGGTATAGCAAATCCTATAGACAGGAGACAATGCAGTCTCTGGACCCATTATAAAATCTGTCAATGGGGCAAAGCCACTGCACAATGAAAAGCCTGATTTGAAAGCCCTCCTGTTAAAGTAAAGCTGCATCGCCTCTTTCATACAATGGGACTGACCCACTGATTGCCCCATCTCACTTTATCCCTAGCAGATTCAAACCCTCTGCTAAATGTACTTATTTGCTTGAGAGTTGAGAGTATGGAATGAGCCTAGCCGTTGTGACGTATAAACCAGAGCTTGTAGCTGAGCTGATATATAAACTCAATTAATTTGGGCTTCGTTTAACCAACTTTAAGGGACGTGGTGGCTCAGTGGCTAAGACGCTGAGCTTGTTGATCAGAAAGGTTGGCAGTTCAGCGGTTTGAATCCCTAGCACCGCATAACAAAGTGAGCTCCCATTACTCCCATTGNGTGGCCTTACCAAGGCATTATAAAGTGGTATTAACACTTCACGTGATCTTGATTCTATCCCTCTGTTTATGCAGCCTAGAACTGTGTTGGCTTTTTTGGCAGCTGCTGCACACTGCTGCCTCATATTTAAAGGGTTGTCCACTAGGACTCCAAGATCCCTTTCACAATTATTACTACTGAGGAAGGTACCACCTACACTGTACCTGTGCATTTCGTTTTTCTTGCCTAAATGTAGAACCTTACTCTTTTCACCATTGAATTTCATTCAAATGCAAATGCAAATACAAATACAAGCTAGAATTTAGGCTTATATACTGCCCCATGGTGCTTTACAGCACTCTCTGGGGTGTTGTAATATAGAACACGGGTCACCCACACTTCCGGGCCACAGCCCACTAGCAGGCTGCAGCCTGTTTGAAATAGGGCTGCTGGAAAAATGGGCAAGCATGTGCGCGAAGTGGAAGGCGCTTTCACATGCACACGAAGCTCCACTCGTACAAATGGAGCTTTCCGCTGTCAGCACCTTCTGCTCACCTGAGTGGAGCTTCGCACACAAGCACCAATGCCTGCTGTGAGCATGAGTGGAGCTTTGCGCTAGAGTGCAAGCATCCTCCACTCGCGCATAAAACTCCATTCGTGTGAGTGGAGAGCACATGCATGTGCACCGCTTGCAGAAATGACCCCACCGCGCCGGTCCAGGCTGCCAACTTAGAAAGGTTGGAGACCGCTGCAATTGTTAAGTGAATCTGGCTTTCCCCCATTTGATTTTACTTGACGTAAGCTGGCTGGGAAGGTTACAAATAGCGATCACATGACCCATGTATCGTAAATACATGCCAGTCGTCAAGCATCTGGATTTTGATCATGTGACCATGGGCATGCCCCAGCAGTTGTAAGTGTGAAAACCGGCCGTAAGTCATTTTTTTTCAGTGTCATTGTAACTTCCAATGCCCACTAAATGAATGGTTGTAAATCAAGGAGTATCTGTATTTAGTAATAGCTAGAGGGACAAAGTAACAGTGGATTCTTCGTATCTTCAGAGTTGTTCCCAAGCTGTAGGATTTGTATTTCAAATCTCCTGAATTTTGGGTCTTCTAAATCTCACGGGCGTTCAGCTTTTTCGCCCCACATCTTGACTACTGAAATCTCACGAGATTTGATCATCTCACAAAATGTCGGCCATTTTGAGCTGATTTAATGCCGTACATACATACAATTGATTGACTGAATATAAGAATGGATGAATGACTTGGGAGGTCAGAAGTGAGTTGCCAATTTTTCTACTACTGGTTCAAGGGTGGGTGGACAGAGCCTCCCACCACCACTACTACCAGTTCGCCCGATCCAGGCCAAACCAGGAGCAACCCACCTCTGTTGGGGGTACTGCAAGGTAAGGGTGTGTCTAAATATCGGAAAGCATTGTGTTGCCAACCTTCGGGTTATGTAGTCCTCCTCAAAAGCTGCATAATGATCTGATATAGTGTGTTTCTCAGCCTTTGCAATCTTAAGATGAGTGGACTTCAACTCCCAGAATTCCCTAGCCAACTAGGGGAATTCTGGGAGTTGAAGTTCACATATCTTCAAGTCAGTGGTGGGATTCAGCCAGTCTGTACCTATTCGGAAGAACCGGTTTTTAACTTTCTAAGCGGTTCAGAGAACCGGTTGTTGGAAGAAATCTTCTTTTGTTTTTTTTCCACTTTACAGGACTAATCCTGTAAGGAAGGCAGGAAGGAAACATTCTGGTGTTGTTTCTAGCGTAATCTTTATTGCCCTGTTTACAGAAACTGCCTCTCCAGTTAAATCCTTATTACAATGTAACCGCTAAGGCAAAGTGCCCATCGACATGAGTAATGTTGAGTTGGCCACGCCCACACGGTCACATGACCACTAAGCCCCACCTACCCACCTGGTCATTAGGACAGAGAACTGGTTGTTAAATTATTTGAATCCCACCACTGCTTCAAGTTGCCGGGTTGAGAAACACTGGTGTAGACTAAATGGTGGGAAAATTGTAAAAAAAAAAAAAGTAAAGTTATTTTGTTTGTTTTCTTGTTTGCCTGAATTGCTTCTGGAGAGGCAGAGAAACTGTGAAGTCTAATTGGGAGTCAAGAAACTCAGAACCTTTCCCCTGACCAAACCAAAAAAGTGGATTTTTTAAAGGCCAGCTTCAATTCTAGCTGAGTGTCAAGCTGCTGATTTCTGGGAGTTAAAGTCCATCTATCTTAAAGTTGCAAAATGCAGGCCTGGTCTATCAGAAAGAAAAATTTGGAAACTGCTGGGCTAGACCAGGGGGTCAGCAACCTTAAACTCTCAAAGAGCCATTTGGACCTGTTTCCCACAGAAAAGAAAACACCGGGAGCCACAAAACCCTTCCTGTCCCTGACTATTTCCTGAGCGACCACGAAACTATCATATGCGGTTGAATTCAACATTCTGTTTTCTTCTGAAACTTTTCCTTTCTTGGATTTAACCATGGTTGGCAGGGATTGAAAAGCTCAATAAATCATGTACCAGTGGGTTGTTTTTTTTTCGCACTTTGGCAGTTGTGACGCATATTTTGAGCAACAGGGAGCCGCAGCAGAGGGATGAAAGAGCCACATGCGGCTCCAGAGCCGTGGATTGCTGACGCCTGGCCTAGACTAATCAGAATTCTAAGAAGGGGATATGAAATCGGTATCTCTTTTGTTTCTGCGTTTGACATCCACCAATATTTTATCTTCTCTCCCTCTCTCGTCTGCAGTTAGCAAATACCAGACACCTAATCAGGTTAAATGCTGCAAGGGTGGCATTATACTGCTTCGCAATGCCCGGTCCTGCGAAGAGCGTGCCAAAAGGATCCAGAACACTGAGTGCCGTGAAGTCTTCCTTGACTGTTGCCGCTATGCTGCCAAACTACGTCGCCAGTCCTGGGGTTCGCATGGTCTTGCAAGAGGCAAGTATGGTAACCCTGAGCCGGCTGAATAGGAAAAGGGAAAGGTTAGGTGAGGAAAGGCAACCCAGATGTTTGAACATCAATTCCTGTCAGCTCCCAAAGCACATTTGAGAACAAAGAGTTCCAGCTTCAGCGTCCTTCCTCACAACAGGTGTAATATCTTTCTGTCAGCCTCCAAACCCAAGAAAGAAACGTCGTCATTCTGAAAAGCAGATTTATTCATTGTTCCTCACCCACAGACAGAATGTTGCCAAACTAAATTAGGCTAATACGTCCCTTTGAAGCATATAGAGGCAGTCCTCGAATTACAACCTTGACTTAGGTTGCGTGTAAGTAATTATTTTGGTCCATAAGAAGTTTCAAGAGACCATAGTGCAGTGCTTCTCAACCTTGGCCCACGTGAAGATGCGTGGATTTCAACTCCCAGAATCCCCCAGCCAGATGGCTGGAGGATTCTGGGAGTTGAAGTCCACGCATTTTCAGGTGACCCAGGTTGAGAAACACTGCCGTAGTGTATACAGGTAGTTCTCAACTTATGATCCCAATTTCAGTTGCTAAAATGTCACAATTTTTTAAGCGGGTTTTGACCCATTTTACCTCCTTTCTTGACACCTTTGTTATGTGAAACACTGCAGCTGCTAGATTGGTAACACAGTTACCCCATTAACGTTGCTTGTCAAAAAGTCACCAAAGGGGGTCACAGCAGGGGTGAAATACTCTGAAGTCTGCTACTGGTTTGTTTTGCACGTGCATGCTCACTTTGTGCATAGGTGCTACTGCACAGTGCTGAAAAAGGAGCATTAAGGTAAGTAGAACAGCTAGGGGGGGACAGCTGTGCCGCGTGATTTAGATTCTCTAGGAAGCAGGATTTCCTGCTTTCTAGCGAATATAAATCATCCGGCACAGCTGACTGTCGCACAGCTGATTGTCAGAACATTTAAAAATGCTACCGGTTCGGCTGAACCGGTAGTTCCAATGATCAGCTGTGTGACAATCAGTTTTGCTGCATGATCACACGGCGACAGCTGATTGCTACACAGCTGATCATCAGAGCTACCAGTTCACCCGAACTGGTAACATTTGTTTTTACTACCGGCTCTGGTGAACCGGTCTGAACCGATAGCATTTCACCCCTGGATCACAGTGAAATTCCAGAGACACCGCAGCAACTGTTAAGACATTTGAAGTTAAGAGGCCTAACTATCATTCCTTCTTAGGCAGGGGTCTCCAACCTCGGCAACATTAAGACTTGTAGACTTCAACTCCCAGAATTCCATGACTGGCTAAGGAATTATGGGAGTTGGAGTCCGCAAGTCTTAAACCTGTCAAGGTTGGAGAAGCTTGCTGTAAGGTTTTTCGGAAAAGAGCAAACTGCCATCTTTAGCTGGTGACTATCTCTTTCTACATAGTTGACGATGAAGATGAAGAAGATTATTTTGATGATGACTTTATCACACTGCGAAGATTTTTCCCTGAGAGCTGGCTATGGAAAACCTTCGTTGTGGATAAAACCCTCACGTAAGTAGAACAGAAACTCATTTACAAGTCATGTTTCATTTCTTGGGAACGCCTCATCCATGTCACATATTGGGCTCCAGGCAGTGGTGGGATCCAAATAATTTAACCGGTTCTCTGCCCTAATGACCAGCTGGGCAGGCGTGGCTCAGTGGTCATGTGACCATGTGGGCGTGGCCAACTCAACATCGCTCATGTCGATGGGCGCTTCGCCTTAGCTGTTACAATGTAATNGCAGAACAATCTTCGTTGAAAAAATGTACTTTTTATTCCTTTTTAAATGTTGTGCGCATGCAGGGAAGGGAAGCGCGCCCACCCACATTTTTTTTTACTACCGAATAATGGCGGCCGGAACCCATCCCTGAGATACATATATAGTTGATAGATAGATATCTTTCATTGGAACTGTCTCTCCATATGAGCAATAGTACTTGGACTTATATGCTGCTTCACATAGCTTCACAGCCCTCTCTAAGCAGTTTAAAGAGTCGGCCTATTGCCCCGAACAGTCTGGCTCCTCATTTTATCAACCTTGAAAGGATAGAAGGCTGAGTCAACCTTGAGCCAGTGAGAATCGGACTGCCGAACTGCTGGTAGCCGGCAGCCAGCAGAATTAGCCTGCAATATTGGCTGTGCCACCACAGGTCATCCCCTCTGTCCAGTATGTCTATAAAGACCCTGACTATCTTTGTTTTTCCCACAGCTAACAGCGGGAACAGAGAGTCCAGCAGAAGTGACCCTGACCGCCAAGGCCACAAGGTCTGCCAGTGGCAACTATTTGATCATTGAAAATCGCAAAAGTTATGGCTTGAATATTGGAGACACCCACACAATTGACTTGACACCCGTTGGATCAATTGCCTTCACCCGCATCTATTACATGGTGAGTCCCTTCAGGAGGTTTGGTGGGAGATATTCATGAGAATCTTGTGGTTCTCTCTCTTTATATACAAGTGGCTTTTCCTGTCAGTCTTGGTGGGCGTCTGCTCGAAGAACTGTGCAGAAAATTAGCAGTGTGCATCCATGAACTCCAACTAGCAGTCTGGAGACATTATGAAAACTCCTTAATTGCGCAACACATGGACACACATAACCAAAGCTTCAATTGGGAAACTGTGAGAACCCTAGACCAAAAACGCCAGAGAATTCCTGGAAGCCTGTTATTCCGACAGATCAGCCATCAATAGGTACATAGAGATAAACAACAACTAAATACCATTCAACAGAGACAATCGAAAAGCTAAAGGGGAAATAAAGGGACTACAACAGCTCCTCCCTAAAAATCAACACCCAGATAAACAGAGATGAACACCTAGATCAGGGGTGTCAAAATCAACGCTGGCAGGCCAGATCCGGCCAGAGAGAGGGGGGGGAGGGAGGGAGGGAGGGAGGNAACAGCTTCCCTCCAGAAGTTGTGAATGCCCCAACACTGGAAGTCTTTAAGAAGATGTTGGATAGCCATTTGTCTGGAACGGTATAGGGTTTCCTCCCTAGGCAGGAGGTTGGACTAGAAGACCTCCAAGGTCCCTTCCAACTCTGCTATTGTATTACCATTGACTTTTTTTTAAAAAAGCAAGCCCAATATTTCACTTTTGCAACAGTAAACTTATAAAAATCAAGTTTAAAGACAGCATTTCAGTGATAATTTTGTTTAGAAAGAATGGGTCGATGTCAACTTTTTAAAAGCCGTTCGGAGTCACTGACTCTAAGTCTAAATAAATAAATAAACTTAATAAATAAAGAGGCTGGGGGGAAAATGAGGATATGTGCATTTTCCCACCTCAAGAACGGGTCAGGGGGCTAAATTTGCATCCTGGGTGTGGATCCATCAGCTGTTTTGGGTTTTAGAGATATAACTTTTAACCACCAGAGGTCATTCTTTTGATGAAACATATCCTTAAATTGTAATGGATCATCTGAAACGCAGTTGGAAAGTTTTAGAAATGCTTCAGGCTTCGGGATTTTAATGAGAAGCCATTGGTTACCGACACTTGTTAAGTCTAGACTGCTTGTAAGGCTGGTGCTTGTCTGTTTGAATTCTGAAAGGCCCAGAGCACTTATCATTGTTAAGAAAACATTCTGGATTTTCTTCCACGTTCTCCAGGCTCGAATCACACTGCCGGATGGCTCGCCAGCTCCCAACCTCCCAGTCCGCTTCAGAACCAGCATAACCGGAGCGCAATCTCCCATGGATGAAGAGCAGAACACCGATGAGCAGGGAAATGTGAACTACAGAATCAATGTTGCTCGAGGTTCTTCTTCAGTCACTGTCATGGTATGGGTTCACCCATCAAAAAGGAGGGGACAGGAGGGGAGGAAGAAAGCCGGCAAGCCACTCCCACTAAGTCTCCTGACTGCCAAGCCACTCCCACCCGGTCACATGGTCGGCAGGCCACATCTATAGAAGAGGTTCTAAAAATTTTTGAAACCCACCACTGGTACACATGTATGTGTGTACGTGTACATGTACGTGTACGTATACGTATACGTATACGTATACGTATACATATTGTACAGATAGCCTTTGATTTACAACAGTTCATTTAATGATCGTTTGAAGTTACAACGGCACTGTAAAAAGTGAGTTATGACCACTATTCACACTTACAAAACCTCTGATAAGCAGAGTCAATAGGAAAGCCACTTAACAACT